ATTATTCGAGAGCAGATGCGACGCATTCGAACGATGAATACAAAGACACAGAACTAAACCTAACCTAATATTAAATTAAATTAACCTAGACCTGATATTTAATCTCCTCGGATAATTTGCCACCGAACTCGTTCGAACGGGTTAACCCTCGAAATCACTTCGGTCATTCCTATCTCCGTATTCTAATCCCGTTTTCACAATTCCCTCAAACATCTGTACAATAGACTAGTAAACAATTACCGAAGCCCTTTGTCCGGCCGCGCTATTTTCACCGAACAAGTATCGCGCAGTGGAACAGACATGCTTGTTCCGTCTAATTACCAACCCTCTCTGAATGTTAATTCAGGTACGGGAGGCTATTGTCGGATACCCTCTACCGAAGTCCAGCGGAAAATGTTCGCGGTGCACGGCACGCGTGGAAACTTGTAAATAAAAAAGTTTTCCAGCGTTCCGGGGATAGGAATGCCTCGAACTCCTGGAATCGATTTCGCATCGATTCGCTACGAAATACGTCTTGCGTTGAAAACCGATACGTAATATTGTTTTATTATTTACCGTATCCCAACTGGATATAGGGTGTCCCAAAAATGTTGTAACACCTTGAAAGGGGTGGTTCGGGAGGTGATTTGAAACAACTTTTTCCTTAGCGAAAATTTCGTCCGAGGTTTCGTTGAGGAGATATCAAGAGAAAGGCCTCGACCAATCAGAGCGCGTAGCCAACGCTACCGCGGCCGCCCACCGGCGTACTCGCGCTCCGATTGGTCGGGGCCTTTCTCTTGATATCTCCTCAACGAAGCCTCGGACAACATTTTCGCCAAGGAAAAAGTTGTTTCGAATCACCTCCCGGATCACCCTCTTCAAGGACTTCCAATAATTTTGGGACACCCTGTATAACTAGATCCCGTATACTTTCGATCTATGTTCGTAGAGATATCATACACGCAATTGTAGGAATTTATATTTTATAAATTTGTATCGGGTGAGAATTAGCGAAAAAATCGCCAACCCTTTCGGAAGGATCTACTCTCTAGACGATCGATTCGGAGTCGAACGTTCCCGTAGTTGAATATTCGTATCGTGTTCGGCGCGAAACACATCGGGTTACACGGTCGCGTTTTGCACCCGAAAAGCAAGATCCACGGGACCATAGCGCGTCGGGTAGCGTCACTAATCGCTTTAGTTCGTTCCTCGTTTTGTTCCGAACAACGAGCTGGAATTTACCCGTGATCGAAGGGTACGTAAAATGATCGGTGTGTGTCCCGTTATCGACATGTTTTCCCGTGCGTTTGCTTCAAAGGGTTGTTGCAACATCACGCCGCCTACTCGATCCTATAATGAATTAACACGAAGGGGGGTGACGCACGCGGCTCGAAAAATCGTTAAACATCGCTACCGCGAAGCCTACGCGATTATACGTGTATCGCACTTTTCATATCGAAGCAGACCTTGTTGTGTAAAACGCCGAGAGACGTGTACGGGTGTGTGTCTATGCGAGTCGATGTGCGTGAACCGTGCGTACGAGCACTTTTTTTTATGGAATAAGGTGTTCTTAAAGTAGCGTACTCGTTGCACCGACGGGAAACTTTCCTAAGAACCGCTAATTTTCTGCTGAACCGTCGTTAGAACGTATCGTTAAATCGTCAGACGTAGATGCGACGTAATTCGAGATATTCCTCCATTTTGTAATTTCGATATCTCGACTTTCGAGACACGCCACCCACGAAGGAAACGAATAAACCGTACAAGAACGTATCGTTGAATCATCCAGACTTAAATATAATTCGAGATTTGAATCGTCCAGATATCCCGGGATCGATTTCGAAGGATATTCTCCTCCATTTTGTAATTTCGATATTTCGACTTTCGAGACACGCCGTCCACGAAGGAAACGAATAACTGTGCAAACAGTATAGTAATATTTACTGTTGATTTGTGAAGAAAAATTAAGTAAAGACCCACGGAGATTCGAAGCCACGATCCTCGGATCCACAGTCGAGCGTTTTACCTACAGGACCAATCCCGTATCCCGCGTTTCGTATTTCTCTGCGTTGTTCTCGTTTCGCTCCTTATTCTCGGGAATGGAAGACGCCGGATGCTACGATATATTTGGCTATCTACGTTAACGATAACTCGAATCCCTCTCAAGGTCTCCACCTATCCGAAGCTAAAGGGTGGTCCCTTATCCGTAACGAGTCGATTTCGTGCCCCTCGAATACAAGGCGGCATTGAAGAAGGAATACCGCGTAAATAGGGAACTTCATATCGAAACGTATTCGTAATATCGATATTCGTAATAACGATGCTCTTTCTCCTCAATGCCTCATTGTACTTCGACAAACGAATTTTCTAAAGATCCCTCAGACAGAAAGGTTGGAAAAGGAAGTACCTAAAACGAACGTAACCGTGGCTCACGCGCAGACCTGAGCAATTTTTCCGTTAATGAAAATCCGATTGCGGGAATTTATTTCGTATAAATTCGTATGGGTCGAAAGTTACTCGAATATTTAATTATCGTGCGTGTCTCTTCAAATTTTCTTACTTTGTTCAAATATAAATATACAATCGGTAATTTATTGATTTATCGATAAGTTAACCTAACTTTCTCTGAATAAACTTCGTTCAGGAGCTTCATTCGGAATTCTTATAATAATAAATTTACTCGAAATCATTCAGCCAATGTAATTCAGACAATTTTTTTTAACACACATAGAAGGTACAAATACTTACACGATTGACTGTATACAGTCAGCGTAAGAAGTATTCGTACAGCAACCAATTTAATATAAAATCGATAAGAAAAGAAATACATAAGAGGTTGACATTAAAAATAATAAACTTTAATTCACGCAAATTCTACATTAAAAATATGTAGAAATGTTGGTTGATTATTTCTTCCGCTAAAGTTTATTAATAAAATAAATATATGAAGTTTTATTTTCAATTGCTTCCTGTACAAATACTTATACGACCGACTTGCATATGTACATCCTCGTAATATCTCTGTTTACGGAATCGGAGAATGGAACATTTTCTTCCCTGCCGAAGAGCACACAAAACCTCGCGAAACGTGTACGGATGAATAAACTGTACCGGGTTGGATTAATCGACGACCAGTTATCGACCAATTATTTTTCTTTACCCGGACTGTCGGTTACCATCGATTCCCGTCGATAAACTCGAGCACCCTCGTAAAAACTACTCGCGTTCTTGCCAACGCTGTACGTATGCACGTTGGCGAAGTTTCTTGCGATGAATTCTTCCGTAGAGTTCGTCCGCTGTAATTCGAGAAGCAGCCCGATATCCCCTTACCCTTCGCGAGCAAAACAACCTTAGGCGCGCGCAAACAAGAAACACTGAACGTATCGTAAACATCGAGCTCTAACACAACATTGGAAAGGACGTTGGAATAATCGCTCGTCACGAAATACTTTTCCACCGTGGCGAATAAATAACCGGAAAACCGTTACGTATAGAAACGAATTCCGTGCTGTTATATTCAAACGTTTGTAACTCTTAGATCGAAAAGACTACTCATTTGTGTTTGGTGGAACAGCTAATATTATAATATTAATATAGCAAATATTTTAACCCTTTGCGCTCGATGCATTTCTCTATAGAATCGAAACCGGTCCATTTTTATAATAAATTTCTGTAAAACCAAAAATCATACTTCGAAAAGAAACGTCCTACGAATATTCGTCGCTCGATATATTATTATTTCAATTAATAATTAACTGTATTCTGATACGAGTAAAATTGTAATTGTACGTTCAAAAGAATCACTTTTAAATTACATATGTCGCCCTAGAGGCGCCACTCGAGCGCAAAGGGTTGATAATTCTCACCATTTCCTAGAGTAAAAAATAGTAGAGTCGTAACGAATCAGGAACATCCCGACTCCGATTAATATCGAACAGATAAATATCGAGACGCATAAAATGAAGTACATGAACTAAAACTAAGCAAAAGTAGTAATTTAAAACGTTTCTATGCGTGATAGACTACTCATTTCCGTTCGGTGAAACAACTAAATATTTCAATAATTTTCACCGTTTCTTAAAGTAAAAAATAGTAGAGTCGTAACGAATCAGGAACATCCCGACTCCGATTAATATCGAACAGATAAATATCGAGACGCGTAAAAAGAATAAAACTTGAACTAAAACTAAGAGAAAGTAGTAACTTAAAACGGATCGTATAAAAAGATCGAGTCGGTGAAGAGAGCGGAGGGAAAAAGAAAAAATTGCTTCGTAAGCAGAAGAGACGGACCGATCGCGGATATCCTCGCACTTTTTCGCCCGGGCACGCGAAGAAAATTTCTCGCGGGTACGGTACGGTCGACCGCGATCGGACTTCGATCTCCCTATTCCATCGAGAATCGATAGGCGAGACGCGCTCGGGTCCATCGGGAGGCAAGTCTATCCAACGTATCGCGTCGGAACGAAAACAGCCCCAGCCGCGATTCAGCGACAGAGGGTGAAAGAGAGAAGCCGATAGAGAGAAGTCCATCGATCGTCGACAGCAAAACACACGGCGCGCGCTCGCTGAAAAAGGATCCCCCAGACGCGTTCCCTCCCCTTACCCCGATAATCGAGGGAAATATTACGCTCGCGTTTCCATGATAGACGGATATATCGCGTATCTCGTGTTCCCCCCACCCCCCACCCTCCCCCCAAATCGCGACAAAATTCGATTTCGCACCGTAGACGTCAAGTGACAGCGAGGGCGCGGGGGTTGCGGGGGAACAGACAGAGAGAAAGAGAGAACGGTGAATTACAGGGCGGGTCTTGCCGTGGAAAATCGATGGGAATACACGGAGAGCGCATAGAGCGAACCGCGATGGGACTCGGGTTGAACGTGTTCGCCGTTCGTTCGCGTTTTCCAACGACCCGAAACTACCTACCACCGTTTCTCGTATCGGCGATCGACGATCGTTTCGAGAGTGAAAAAAAAAAAAAAAAAAAAAAACGTGACTCGTGGATAAAATAAAGATTACTCACTTATCGCCGCGTCGAGGATGCGAAACGTTCGCTACCGGGACTCGTCTTCCAAGGGGCGACTCGACGGTGCAACGGTCCTGGTGACGTTACGCGTGTGCGGACACGCCGGATGGTGCAGGTGGTGGTGACGGCGACGATGGTAGTGGCGATGGTGGTGTAGTGGTGACTATGCTCTGCAAGCGGTCTAGAGATACGAAAAAATATATAACGCGTAACGCGACTGCGCCACCGGAGTCGGGAGTTTACTGCGTGGCTCGAATCGAGTCTAACGAGTAACTAGCGAAACGTGCACGAGCCGTGTGCGTCCTCGTCGCGGTGCTACCGTCTACTACGTGTTGCTGCCGCGAGAACCGCTACCGCTCTACCCTCTCTCCGCACAGCCTCCCCCTTGCTCTGTGCCACTCTACCATCCCTCCGAGTCCACGCAGCCAGCAACCTTCGCGCGCGGGGTTGCCGCTACCAGCATCCTCCTACCCCCTCTCCGACCCACCACACGCCCTCCCCTCCAATCGCTGCGCTGCGTCGAAAGATATTTTCAAACGTACCTGTAGCGGGGTCGCTAATTTCCATCGCTGGGGATGAACATTTTTGGGACACCCTGTATTATTGCGTTTAGAAAAATACCCGTGATATCTGATCAATTTTCTATCGCGTTCGTATTCCGAATTATATTCAGGTCAACAGAGTTCTAAGAGAGAGCGATTGGTAACTTCCGAACCGGAAATGAAAGCCTGGAACCCCGAAAAGGTCCAACCTCAAACCAGAGATAAGCAAGACCCTAGGCTTGGAATAAATTTGAAGTTTGCCGATGGGTTTGTCTCGCTTCCTTCTTCGGAAAATGTTCAAAAGAGACAAACATATCGGCAAACTTCAGATTTATTCGAAGCCTAGAATTTTAACCAAGACCTTTCGAACGACCCTAACTCGGAACCTCGCTTCTCTACCTCTAGGCACGTGCTCGTAGCATCGTAGAATTTTTAACGGACTTCGAAAAGGAGGAGGTTACTCGATTCGACATGTATATTTATTTTATTTTATTTTTTTTTTTTTTTACTCGTTCTCCTCAATACAGATAAATAATGCTTGTCCCGACTATTTATTTCATTAACATCAAAAAATACAGTCATCCAAACGATACGACCTCCGATGGTAACGTACACGACCATGTGTTAACAAACCCCACGTTTCCTATGTACACCGTGTTACCAACGTAGCCGCATAAATTCGCCGCGGCATATACGCATACATTACCCGCCAACTTGTCTTTCCCGTATCTAGCGAACGATTAATCTCCGTAACGCAGCGATTAAACTACGGCTGCGAGTATGCAAGAATATCGATTCAAACGAATCGAATGCAAAGTGTACGACGCCAAACCGTAGTCGAGAGCGGGATACAGATCGCGGTGGAATTTTATCTGACCACAAAAGAAGTCTTGGTTAGACGAAAACTTGATGAAGATTCGAATGAATAAAAGCTCACCGACGGATATTACGAACAACGAATAATACCGACCTGGATGAATTTTTGGAATCAAAATCCATTTATAATGGCTCCATGTATCTAAATAATGCTAGTTATCTAAATAATTGTCTAAATGGAGATTCAAGTCGAGTAACGGCCAGCTGTAACCGTCCCGAAGGAAAAAAATCCGTCAACAAACTTCTACGCCAGCGAACGGCGTGTACACGTTCTTTCGCACGGACTACGCTCCCGATAAGAGTATACTGGCAACATTTCTTTTTTTTTTTTTTGTTATCTGGAATACCAGGGCTTCCCGAAAGTGGCTAAGGGGCTAGGAGGTGACCAACCAGTTAACGAGACAGTCGCTGGCATAGGCCATATATTGCGCGAGCACGTTTCACTGGTAGCTCGTTTTTCTTGGAACGCGTGGAAGAAGCTAGACCTTCTTCCTCCTGCTCGGGTCATATACATTCGCTGGTTCCTTAATTGCCCGCTAGAAGTAGCCTCTCGATCGGTTCGCATACCGACCAGTGGCGCACCCAGGAATTTTCCAAGGAGTGCAACTAAAAATGAACAAAGCCTGTCGCAATACCTTCGGAGATTTTAGAAAATTTTAATAGAAAAGATACGGGGATAAAGTTTATTTAATTCCTTTACGTAAAGTATGATTCTCTAACATTTATGTCAAATTCTTGCACCCTACTTGAATGCGCCACTAACAACAATCGATTTCGACTTGAAATTTTCAAGTCAATAATAAGATGATAGGAACTGTTGTGAGAAACTACATATATATATATATAAAAGTATTACGAATCTATATATATATATACAGGGTGTCCGAAAAGTCGGGGAGGAGCCGGAAATGGGGGGTAGCTGAGACGATTCTGAACAACAATTTCCTTTGCAAAAATGTCGGATGGGGCTTCGTTCGTAAACCTGTAAACTACCGCACGTAGAATAAGATTAGCGATGCAGTTGAGTTATCAACTAAATACTCAAATAAACTAAGGTAACGTACAACCGACTAGAACTGTTACGTGCGACCTTCCGCCAAGCAATCCTGTTCCACGATCGTGGGACGATCGGAAGAAAAATCACTTGCGCAAGGGTTCGGTGCACCGCGGCATTCGAAGTTTCTTAACGACCGGCTCGACTGGATTTAAAGCAAACAGGATCTGGCGATCCTGTTATAGTAGTGTTCCGAGATCATTCGATCGCGTTCGCGAGATAAATTGTTTAGGTTAAAGGATAAAAGAACCATTACTTCGATACGACGGAATTAATTTAACCCCTCGATACGCAAAAATTTTGCGACGAATAAATTACTAAACGAACATTACTAAACTTAACACGCATTTCTCCCTGACGAATGAGATTTTTTAAATGGACACGTCGGAAAACATACGACGAAAGCCATCTGGCGTGATTTACTATGTCTAACTAGCTGTGAGTAGCGCGAATATGAAATACATTTGGAAAAATGCAACGGAGTAGTATGTTACCCTAATGTATGATTAATTAGCTGTGCACACTTACGAGTTACTTTGTTGTGACCCCCTGTCCCGTGGAGAATTTGTAGCAAATAAACATTGTCGAAGTCAGCAAGCGTTTGTCTTGGCAAGTGAGACATTTTTTTTATGGCGCGAACAGATATTATCTACGAAACAGACGCGTCGGAAAACTTGACACGAGAGCCATCTGGTGTGTGCTTTTTCAAAATAAAATAGCGCGAACGTGAAATATATTCGAAAGTATTTGATGCGATCATGTATATTAACTGATGTCCAAATAACACTATTTCCTCATTTCCTACTTCCTATTCACACTATTCAATATACTAATACTAATACAAGACACTATTTCAATAACTCGAGAGGCTAACCTATTCACTATTGAATTATCCAGAATCAGTCGATATTTTCCTAACCTGAAAAGATTTATTTGAGTTTTACTACAAATAAAATTGCTAGAATATATTTGTAACAAAACTCTGTCCCACGACCTCGAGAGTTTAACCTATTTGCTTTGAAATTAATCGAAATTACCCGATGCTTTCTTAACCTGAAAAGATTGAGTAAGAAAGTATCGTTACAATTGTTCATTGTGCCACTAGTCTGTTAGGGCCCCACTGGCCCCCGTAATAGCTCGGGTACCTCGGGATCGCCAAACCCGTACTGTAGCTATGTACAAAGATAACTACAGCCCCTGAGGGTCCTGAATGTCCCGAACAGGTTGCTACGTTCGCCAAAAAGGTAGCCGATCGCCAGTCGAAACCGATGGAAAATATCGTTCGCGTGACGTCTCTGGGTTAGCGGGTTGACGTCGAATAAAATGAAGACTTACACGCGATCATGCTACGCGTACGCGGTTGATACGTGGACGGGGAGTGATTGTCAGAAGTGACATCGGCGCGGGGGAGTAAATCACGTCGGCATTAAGACAATTACGGAGAGAACGACGGGTCGAGGCTCGTCGGTCGACGTGTCTTGGACAGAAACAGATGTCTGATATGCCTTTTATTTCGACTCCACGGTCAGCAACGTATATATACACGTATACGTTAAACACCGACGCGATCCGCAGGACGTACGTAGGATAAATGCATGGGCGTCGGTATAGGGCATTAAAAATACGACCAATATCGCAACGGATATCGTGACCTAACCTTTCCGCTACTGAATTCCTCGGCGATCTTAAACCGCTAAAAAAATCTTACAGAATTCGTACCTAGAACGATTAACAGTTAAAGATTAAGAGAACGTTCTAGTAATCTCTGGTAGAATTTTTGCTATTACATTCCCAATCGGACCCATTACGCAACAGAAGAATCTTCTAAGAAGATTGAGCAAAGGTATCAAATAGGAATAAGGGACAAATTGTAAACTGTAACTATAAAAGAGGATCAATAAATTAGCGAATTAATACAGGAGTCTCCCGCGCGAATGTCGTTATTTCAAATAGAGACATTGCTATAAACACGGAGAAATTAAAAAAGAAATCGTGAAGAGTTTTACGATAGGGTTTGCGCAGAAAATGCTAGCGGCGACCATGCCCCGCGATACCATCGAAAGCGAGTGTAAGTGTGGGCAAAAGTCTGTCCGTGCTGCGGTCATGCAATTGTACGAAGGAAATGAGATCAAGTTTGAGTGATTGCGGACAGCAGTCGAAGAGAGGAGGAGAGCGGCAGGGAATGTAGATAGGACAGTTCAAGAACCGAATCTACAGATCAGCGACTGGATATACTGGAACGGACAAAGCAACACATTCCCGCGGAAGTCGAATACGTCGACGCGATGTCGCTTTCTAATAATGTTAAACGATATTTCCTTTGCCATGCTGACACGTTTCTCGTTACGTTTTTTTTTTTTTTTTATCTTTTTTCAACGAAACAGTACACAGGGGTACGGTGAACTTTCGACGATGATCGACCCTTCGAAATAATTACAGCGATGATTAAGATTGCTTTCAAAAATAAACATTTATTTCAAAATTAATGCTTACCAGCTGTACCCTAAAAACTAAGATCTAACCTATACACCGATTGTGTTTAGGTGTTGTTCTTAAGACCTCTTAAGACTTCATTGCATTATTAAGTCGTGTACAATTGTTTCATTTTCAGTATAGTACCGTAATAGCTTCCGCAGCAAAATTCATACACTTCTCTGGCTTGTATCATCACATGATCTCCTTGTACACACACACACATATATATATATAGCATGTCGCATATATATATATATATTACATTCAAATGGCAGTGCCAGAATGTATTCTGCGCGTATCTAATGATTCGACTCGAAATCATGCTTACAAACTGGATCATGTACCATTTTCTTATCACCGAACAGAATTCTCGGGCCAAAATCTCACTCTCCTATGTCTCGATAAAAATTAAAATGATAGTACCGCTAAGTGGTGATATCACATTTATGGTTCGGAGTATGTACTGTCTGGTCGGTTGATGAAAAAAAAAAGAAAAGAAAGGACACAGACCTAGACAGCATCTTTTGCAGATTGTACCAGTTCTCCAAATGAGGTTTCCAAGCATTGCCGTAATTCTGCGTAACTTACTACTAACACACTTTGTTCGTCTCGTGACATCAAACATATCTATAAGATTACGAAAAAAAAAAAAATATTCGAAAATACGTATTAAGGGATAATCCAAAACGATCGTTCATGTATTTCGTATGTACGTACACTGGTTTAAAAGAAACCTGTTCAGAGTGAAACAAACACGTTGAAGTTCTATCAATCGGAAGTCGAAGTGTATTCGCACGTTTGTGTAGTATGAACGAGCTTCTTCAAAGCCAGTGTTGATACATTGGTAAAAATATAGCGGTGAAGATGGGCAAAATTCTTATCTCTACGTGGAACATGTCGAATCACGAATAAAACAGATAACGTATAAAATAGATCGATATCCCATCGAAGAAAATTTTGCCCATCTCTGATCGATAATTAAATAATACGATTTAAAAGAAGAATATACCTTATCCTGAGAACCTGAATCCAACTTATTTAAACAAGATACAACGTGTGCCATATCCAACCATGGTCTCCCATCCGCTGCAACCTGATGAAAAACGTAATCCCTAAACAATTTGAGCATGTATCGGTCACCCGTCTCTGCCCACGTGGGTTCCATATTAAGTTCAGGTCTTTCGTTAATGGTAGCCAATTTTACAAGTAACTTAAATAATCGTCCATTCTCCAGCTCCTTGGCAAGTTCATTCTCCAGCACGTCTGATCGAAGTAGAGCCGCGTCTAACTGTGTATAAAATCGCGCTCCTATCATTGGCATGAGATCGGTTACACTTCTTCGTGCTTGATTAGAAAGTAAATACCTATCAAATATAAGAGGCGAGATAGTAAATGTGATTTTAGGAAAACCTGCGTAATAGAGGTAAAATGTGTACGAACAGAATGAGATTTCGAAGATCCGTGGAGTAAGAGCGGGCAACGAGCTCGAGGGAGGCTTGCATATTGTCGCGATGGACGGCAAGGAGGCTGCGACATGCTAAAGCCAACACCAATTTTCCTAGGGCGATTAAATCTTCCTGTTGATAATGTGGTATGAGCGAAAGTGGATTTGCTGCATTTCCATCGAACGTAACCACGTCCGGTATAGCCACGCAACTCAAACGAAGTCTTGTACGCGACGTCAGCAACACTTTCGTAGGATCTAAACATCTGTATGCCAAACCTGTCGAACGCAATAGCAACATCTAGGATCTTCTTAGGTATTACTTGGACTGTACTTAGATATTATTCAAGTATACAAACCAGCAGCATGTATGACGCGAAGAGCAGCGGTGAGTTGGATTATGTAGCTCCATATGACACTTTCTGGTAACATACTGCTATGTTGCTGTCTCAAAATGGTATTTTTAGTATGACTATAAGGTCTGGGAGCATTAGGGTCCGAGGAAAATGGATCCGTGTATCCATTCAATTTAGTAGCTGAGAAATGCTTATTTAATAACGTCTCCGAACCAGGATGATAGTCGTAAACGAATACCATGGCTGTAACAATAAAATCGTTTCGTAAAGATACACTTAATACAGTTTTTAGTACGTTAATACAGACAATGGTCACCAAAGGCCTTGGTGGTGAAAACTTCTCGTAACTGCACTAAGTTGGTATGCGATAATCGCTTCCACATATCCACCAGCACCATACATTTCGTATTGGCAAGTCTGAAATCTAAGAACACATGAAATGCTTATTTCAATACCAGTTTCTAACTCTTTTCGTATAATTCCGTTGGATAGTAACGAAAGACGAGAAACTCACCATGTATACGACGTAAACAATAACGCGTACCACTTTTAATGCTGGTAGCTTTGTACGTTGATGTCTGATATCCAAGCATTGTCGAGGCAGGTTTATGGATTGGTTCTAGCGGGCACAGCTCATGATAATTATCTACCTCGTTCGGTAAGTCGGGAAATCGTACTATATCGGGTTGTGCTAACGTTAACGCATTTTTCTGAAGAATGTCCATTCGTAAACTTTCACTGACAAAGAAGCTAGGCGTTGCTTGAGGTGGTGGAGTCGAAGGAGCAGAAGAGCTATTGGATGACGGAGGTTTCGCCGGTTTCACTGGCTGAAGATGCGCAGGTGTACCTGGATAGACAAAGCCTACCTGACCTGCTCCCACATTTGCGATCTATCGACAAGAAGTATTATCACTAGATTAGAGAATAAGAGATAAGTAGACGCGTTAACTTTTAAACTTGCTTACAGTTTCAGTTCCGTCCTCGGCTCCAACAGTATCGGTCGCAGCATTCCCAAGGTAAAAATAAGTAGTACCGCCCACATTCTCTTGCGAATGGTAAGAATTATTGAAAAGATTTGGAGAACTGCTGTTGCTACTAGTTAGACTCCTTCCAGGTACAAATTCTGGACTGGCAGTTACCTTTTTTTGCGAATCCAGAGAAAGGTTCGACAAATGTTTTGTAACGGCGGTGGTACTTAGAGTTACCCCTGGGCTTTGACGATTCTATCAAAAAATACATAATAAAGAAATTATGCGTTGTAGTCGTTTGTCTACTAGTTACATTTGATTCAAGGCTACATCTAATTAGATGATATAAAATGGAAATTTTTACTAAGATTTGACTCTCCTCAAATAAATTGCAGATGAGTAGTACACTACCATGTAGGTAGCAAGCTTGGACTCCAGTGGAACGCCGTTTGTTTGAGGGGTGTATGCAACAAACATTGATGGGTCCATTTCTCCTTCAACCACTGCATTTACTGCTATCACGCTTAACCCTCACTTCGACTCTTTCTATTTTCCACCCTGTTGTAAATCACTTTGCACCTGCTTCTCTCAATGGTAATTAACAAATGTGCTTTACCACAAGTGGTTGCTTTCGTTAAAATATAGATACACGCTGCGATATCCAGGTCCTGCAACATACCTTATAGATACATAAGTACAAGTAAAAAGTACCGATACAAAGATAAAGATTAACAGTAGAGTACATAAAATTGTCTCTAAACAAAATTCATAAAATTTTGTATTTCTTCAATTTTTTACTTAATAATGATTAGTAATATAATTCTGCAATAGCAACTATTTGATGAAGAAATATGACTGTAAGAAAAGAGGTAACGTTGAGCTAATTCTAATGAATTCATTTACATATTCCTGAATATTTTTAAAATCTTAGTAGAACATTAAATGATATATGAAAACCCAATAAGTAAACAAATAGCTATACAAGTATGATTTAACTTTATTCTCACTATATGTCTACTAAATCTTTCACGAATCTTTGGTTTCGATTATCTTTGGCAACATACAAACATAGCATCTCCATACTGCTTATTCTACGTCAAGTTGTATATACAATTTCCCATTTCTATAAATGGTTCAGACTAACGATGCTTGCACATTACCAAAGATAGTTCAACGCAGAGTAAAGTTAAACCACAGTTATACAACTGTTTGTTTACTTATTTATTACTTGAAAAAAAAGAAACAAGTAAATATCATCTGCTACTCTACGAGAAACAAAACATACAATTCGTTTACAAAACTGCCTGGTTATACTAGCATTCGTGTGAAATGTGTACGTGCATAAATTTAACGGAACGTACCGCTCGCTCTAAACGAGAAACGAGTAACCTGCCGCGTACGGTTCGACGAACGGCGAGGATAGCGAGATTCGTCGATTATGAATGAAATTTCGTAGACAGCGGACGCGGTTTCATTGAAAAAAAACGAAAACAGAAAGGGTGAAAGGAAAGGAGACCGCGACGAACAAGCAGATTAGCACGCTATAGCAATGGCAGCTGATTTTGACAATACAGCGAAAAAGACGCACAGGATAAATAACCTTGGCTTCGCGTCGCTGACGACGAGGAAACGGAGGAAACGTACGAGAATTCGATGAAAGAAATCGGAAGGTTCGCGCGACAGAGAAGTAAAGCGACCGATGGAATGAAAATACGGGGACATGTTACGATGAAACGCGTACCGAAGAGTACGCCGCGTTAACATAACCATTTAACGCTGTCAGCCGATGTCGCGTCGGTGTACGGTACGGCGCCAAAATTCCGATCCCACCGATACGTTCGCGACACGGAACGGAAAAGCCGCGCAACGAGAAAATACATACAACAATTTACAGAGTCTATTTAACAGCAATCTGACCGTGTTATAACATGTTTCCATCCAGCAGACAAAGGAGAAAGCAGAACCAATCCGATCTTGTATGTTTATGGTGTTCTCCCTTTGCTTCGGCCTCGTATTTTTCTCTTTCTTCCTCTCTCCCTTCCACCCTCCTATTCATGTCCTTCGATCGGAGCAGCTGTCTCTCTGCCACGGCTTGTCTCCGGGCGCGCGAGACGCAACTTGTATATTTACCTTTCGAACGCACAACCCGCGAATCAGCGAAATTTCTTTCCATTAAATATAGATCACGAATAGGAGCACCTCGTAACAATCGATTCGCGACGTTTATTCGATCGGATAGCTTGATTTTTGATCTATTTATCGCGAAACATTTCGTGCTAAAAATCAAATACGGATTTTCATTCGAAGCGTCGAACTGTTTGCTTATCTTTTATTCGTTGTTGGACATTTTTATCTAGATGGGAATTTTTCTGCTTCTGGCGATTCTTAGGTCGCGAATCGTTCGCGAATGATCTCTATTCGACGATCTCGATCTGGTATGATACGTTATTAACAGCAATCGATTGCGAAAGAAATATGCGTCGCCTATTGCGCCGTGTTTCATATATTATTCGTGTTAGTACTCGGTTTGACGAATTTGGTCAAAGATTTGTATCGATATTTACGAAACGCGATGGGTATAGTTCTTGGAAATGAGATATCCGTGAAAACAATGTCTAACGGAGAGATTATCTGATAACACGATTTCGAAGTAAATTTTGTTAAGATATATTCGCAACAGAGCGACGCACGTGACTTGTTCTTCTATATACGAATTGTGTGAATATACTAAATAATTACATGTTTCTTTAACGTTTTCTGTGTTTTACCGGCGGTTCTATTTTATGGACAATATATTGTATCGTAGTTTGAATATTTACAGTACACTTGTGAGACTTTTCAGAGCAGCGTCCAACTTCTTGACCGATTCACTGGACTCTTTTTATTTCCACCAGACCGACGCCAATGTTACTAGCAGTTACTAGAGCTCTGATGCTCTTACAACTATGGCGTCAGGCAGAAAGGGCAAAACCCTAGGCTTCGAATAAATCTGAAGTGTGCCGATATGTTTCTTTTGTTTCCCCTTTTGAACATTTTCCAGAGAAAGAACGAGACAAACATATCGGCAAACTTCAGATTTATTTGAAGCCTAGGGAATATTATTCGATAGAATAAACGCTACGAATAAATTGGAATAAATCCCAATTGAACAAAAATTGTTCCTATGAAGTGCACCTAGTAATAACGCTTGCATCTACGATTCCCTGATTCTCATGATTATGTTGGCAACACTAAAATATTTCAATGTGTGTAGTATCCTACATTCATTTGTATATACATAGTTGTGTATACTTGTGTATCTTGTGTTTATTGTATACGATGGATTTGAAGCATCGAGTTTTCGAGAACGAATAACGACGAGTGTTTCCATTTACTCGTTCCCGTTTGCGAAGTACCAATAAACAAAAGTGTGTAACGACAAACGTGAACTTAACGTCAACGTAAATTCAAATAATCTTGTTTAACAAAGTTCACGACAATGATCATACCTGTACGATGTTTTACATGCGGGAAAGTGATCGGTAATAAATGGGAAGCTTATCTTGGATTACTACAAGCAGAATATACGGAAGGGTAATTAGAATTATTTTAATATCCAAACACTAAGATAAACGAAGAATAACATAATTTGTAAAGAATACTTATGTTATGGACATACCTAACCTCTATTCGTAGAGTATTATCGAATGCTTAAAAATATAATATACAGTAAGTCTTCGAATTACACTGTCTCATAGATATAATGGAAAAGAAAGATTTATTCACTTGTTTTGAAAGGACTGTGAGTCGAAAACTTACTAGATATTCAAATATCTTGGATACATACTTCTTACTTATGCATCACGTGGTACATATATGTGTTGCAGAGATGCTCTCGACGCATTGGGATTAAAACGATATTGCTGTCGCAGAATGCTTCTTGGACACGTGGATTTGATTGAGAAACTTTTGAATTATGCACCATTAGAAAAATAAACACCATGTGAAATCTTTATTTCGACAATTCATCTTGTATATTGGTCTGTATATCACAGAATTACATAAATTAATTAAATAAATTTTCATGATTCCAAAGCAAAATACACATGTACATACTTCTATTATATTAAAATGTATCATTAAAGTTTAAAAATGTTATTTTCACCTCACAATTACAGCATTTACTGAATTGTACATACATGTAGAATGGGAAAGAATTAAAATCAACCAATTATAATGTAAAATGATCTGTATTTTATAATTGCGTTTGTTGCTTTTTTCTCTTTTCTTATCATGATTGTGTATAAATTTTCAACAGTTGTATAAAAAGTTGACAAGTTTATAAAAAGTCTATTAGCAAAAACTGCTCTGACAAAATATTATGTTTTTATTTTGAAAATATGTATTTACGTTAAATGCAACATAGAAAAGTGAAACATTTTATACACTGTATATATATTACATGCATAAAACATGCAACAGGAACTTACTGTACACGGACATTCGTATACATAAACAATTCTTCTTAGGATTTTGAATATTAAAAGGCTTTGCTACATATCACTAGTTAATGGTATCTTCTGAAAAAAATGCAGGAGGTTATATTTCGAGATTTGATTCTTAATCTGTAGAGCCAGCTACACGTACATCCAATTTCAATTTCTTAAATAAGAAACTCGTATATGGATGTAATAAACATGCACTTATGTATGCTCGTGTTTATCAATCTTAACTAAAATAAAAAATTTTAAATAACCGCATAATTCGAGTGTCACTCAGTATATTCTGCATTAACAATTTCTAAAATAATATATGTAAAAAGAAGCATCAAATACTTTTACGAAGAGCACTATTAATTAATAAATAATTAAAAGATCCGTATCTGTATTATTATACATGTATCTTGCTTTCATTTCAATTGGTATTTTTATTATTCAAATGTAAAGTTGTTTTAAAATACTGCCAATGTTTTTCAGTCTACATTTTTCTCTAATTAAATAAAATCGTTACTTGCAACTCTCAAATCTATCAGCCACTTGATATGTTCACTCCAATTAAATCTTTTCATATAACCTTCGCTGACATTATTCTTTTTATTTTATAAATCATTTGTGCGTAAACATAAGTTGAATTACTGCATACCGAATATCGGTTTTTTTTAATTCTCCTTTGCACAACAATCAACTCAATGTTTGTTATTGCAATAGTTTCTTTTTTTCTATCTTACTAGAGCACTTCATGTAGGCACATAAGTAGCAACTAAATTTCTGATAGAAATCTTTGTTTTCCATACATCTGATGTACGTTATTGCAATTGATATTTCTGAACCGGTCATTTTTTTTTTTTTTTTAATTCTTATGATTGTCTTCCTAAAGTATCAGAAATTTATTGCGTTCGACTCGGTGAAGTGGCTTCCAAACAATTTTAGTTTGGAGTATTGGTATATGTACAGATCTATCTGTACATGTCCACAATTTGTATTAGAGCGCTACGAGAGCCAAATACTAAAGCCATGAGACCAATGATACATATGACGATGTTCTTTAACGCTACCCAATTGCCTGGGCCGAAACCAACGTCCCAGTAAGTTACGGTTTCGATGAACACAGGAATTAATAGCCCCAAGATGGAGAAGCAAAATGCACCGATCAATCCAATGAAAGGTTCGATAGTCGGTACAATCACAGCCAAGAGAACTGTAACACACAGGGTAAACTCATAGAAATTCATCTTCATCGAGCAACGTGTACTCTTATTTAAATAATTGAAAACATACCTGCGCCACTGACCATAACAGTTCTCAAAACATAATTTGCTAGCATAGGTTTCTTCTGGAATCTATCCTTTATACCGTCCCACGCGATATCGAGACAAACATAGAATTGTAAACCGAATGTACAATAAACTGCGAGAGCTATCAAAATCTTCACAACTTGGGCGGGTCTAGAATAACATTTACGATACTTTTATTCGTCCTCGTAGAATTAAAAGTATAGTAAAACGCGGCAACACTTACATTTCTTCCGTCGGCAAGTTCAACGTGATACTGTCCAACGTTTGGTCTTGGTATTTTACGTAACCCAAAAATCCAAGTAAAATGTATATAAGGGTGACTCCAGACATTCCTTTATTGAGAACACCGCAAATCCCGACAAAGTGTTGCGGCGTTTTCATGTTATTTTCCAGCGGCATTACAACACCTAAAAAAAAAAAGATTCGTCGTGCAACCATTCTCCTCTTTCTAGTTAAACGGCCAAGATCAAGTAAAAAGTACCTATCGCCTCCATGGCAAAAATAGTAATGCTGAAGAATCGCGGAAAGTCCTCGATAGACGCGAATAAAGGCACAGACGTGATGGGTGGTATATCCATGACTAAATAATAGAAAGTTATTCCTAAGCCTGTTCCCATGAATATATTGGCCACCATAGAAATAGGCGCGAGGTATTTCAAGTTGGGAATCCAACTGAGTAATATCATTGGGATCAGCAAACAGGCTGTCATTAACCTGATACTGAACGGACCGGCTTCGGGATCGTTGTAGTGGTCGATGATTTGATTGAAGTTCATCGCAACGATTACCGTGTACACGCTGCAGGTGCCGAAGTACGTTGTAAATAAACTAATTTGTATGAGATACCTGCGGGGCAAAATCAATGGAATGTTACATAGTTACCGTTTACGACGGATATCTGAGATTGTTATACGTTTCCGTCATTAGGAAATCTTACCTGATCGGCTTTGAGAATTTTCTTCCCCATTCTGGTCCCGTAGCAAACGCTTCTTCCGCTATATCGGCGAAGCTCATTTGCGTGCGGTGCGTTTTGTGATAAAGAACGTGCGCACATTTTACCTAAAGCATTGCAAATTTGGTCGATGTCGTTATTTGTAATCTCGTTACGATATTACTTATCGCATTCGATGCCCTGACCTTTACTTACCAAAATGTATGCACAGTGCGTGCAGACAAACGCTACAAGGATCGTAGCAAATACGCCAAGGAGGAGGCCGGCATTCTTGAAAGCGATTGGCATGGACAATATACCCGTTCCAAGCGAAGCTTTCAGTAAATGCGTTAATGTGTCACAGTCCCTGAACAAAGACAAGATTAAACTGTAATTAACGATATGGGTATCGATGCCTTGGGTCAAGCCCAGAACTTCTTTTAATTCTAATCAGAATGTCACCGTAAATACAGATTGTACAAACAATGAGAAATGTTTGTACGAACATATTTACGCTGTAGCATCGAGTAATAATATTCGTAAATCTTGTTTCACATTGGAAGAGTAGCCAGAGATAGCCCAAGATATTCGTACAATCATTTTAACACTTTATTTACCGGGAGCCTATTTATAGGCTTTTTAATTGCAGCATTTAGCTATTCGAATTTATTTACTATGTCGATGGTTGTCTACTTGCAATGATCAGTGTTTGGTAACAGACTTGGCTTTCAATGTACCCGGTAAGTAACAGTATGGAGGAATTATTATCAGCCTAGATTGGGATACGCTACTGTAGAAAATTCTTTTTTGAATTAATGACTGTTTATTAAAGACTATTTAGAAATAGCCCGGTAAGTAAAGTGTAAAGTGTAATGCATCTCATATGGAAGTGGTCTGAGACGATCAGTTTAAAAAATATCGTCGATTGAATTCGCTTACGTCGTTGGATTATCAACTTTTCGTTCACTGAATGGATCGAAAGTTTTCCCATCTCCTTGAGCTTCTACATCTCGCGGAGCGACTTGTACTTTGTATCTACAACGAAAAGAAAATATTTAGATTACCCAGATGCTGTTTCAACGATAACACGTTCAAGAATAATAAAATTCAGAAATCCTACTTGGTCAGTACGCCATCTTTCACGTTAGACCCGTCCGTGGGCAGGAAAGTGTCCAATTCCGTCGGTGTCTTGTTATCCTGTAATAAAAATAATGTAATAAATATTTATACGAATTACAATGTATAAAGGAAATTATAGATTTTTACTGAAACATACCATTTTGTTGTGTGTGTGGTTTCCTGTGCCCAGAATAAATTATCTACAACAATGAAGAGGACTGATTTGATGAAAACAGAAATATGGCAGCGATTTTAGAGTTTTGTTTTTAACTAATGTAGCATTAAATGCCTCGGTGACTGATAAAGTCGTACAACACTATGCGCGTAACTTCTTTGGTTCTTATTTGATCTACAGGTACATTGTTATCATCGCGGTTTCGTGATTTACAACTTATATAATTATGCTATAAAGAGTAGCGCGTATCGTCGTTATCAAAACACTGATTCGTTAATCAGTTGCGCTTCGCAGATGATTGCACTAAATCCACGGGTAAATATAATTTCGATCAATTTCGTAACTCTATCGTCGAGAACCGTTTCAATAATTCCAAGCTAATTGTTATTAAAAATAACAGAAAGAAATCAGGTGCGTAATCAATTATTGCCTGACAATTGTCTACCGCAGTCATACTGCAAAATCAGCTTGGATAAACACTAATAATTAAATTTTAATAATTATATAATTAATAATTTGAATCATTCATCTCCGACTAGCAGAGTAGGCGCCATCATGGCGGTCATGCAAATGTAAACACGGTGTACGTTTCAGCCTATGAATCTTTAAATATTAACATTCTTAAAAAACAAACAAACAAATAAGCAAAAATCCATAAGTACGACAAAATATTCCGTATTGAAAGATAGACTAATAAATTATGCTTTAAAAGCAAATTATTGCACGATGATAATTACACAAGTGAATTCTAACAACGGATAAAAATATCTCCGATTAGGAGAAGAGAGATTCCAGACGGAATAGACAAAAAAAAATTACATTTATGTTCGAAGAAAAACTGTCGCTATAAAAAAAGGGAATGTTAGTGTAATAAGAAACGTTACAGCTGGCTTGATAAATTCTCGTCCGCCGCATACTGCGTTTCTTATTACATACCCGTCGCTATATCCGTCAATAATCCGCGCATAATCAAAACGTCGTTGCGATACTTCTTGGCATCGGTTATGTAAAACAGTATTGAAAGACTGCGTTCGGCATCAAGACTTTGACCTTGGGTGTAGCAGTTTCACGCGAATTAAACTACGCACGCGGAACTCCGTCAACACGGCCTACAAATTACGTGGGAAAAATTCGAGTAATAATAAAATAATGTCGCAAGTATACTTTTCGTTATAAATCTATTTATTTTATTACGGATCTGAATAGCGGTTACATATTCGTAATA